CGTTAACTAGAATACGTGTTAATGAGGGTACTGTAGAGTTACGATACATGTTTATTCGAAAAGGAACACAACGGTATTCTGATCTAGTTGACGAATGGAAAGAAAAGGAAGTTAATTCTGCATGTCGCGGATGTGTGAATTCGATAAAACTCTTGGTGTGTTGGGTGTGAATAGTCATGTTGTAAGATAATTAGTCACTTTACATCGTCTCCGATGATTCCATCGTGTGTCGTGTATGCCTGCCAATCGTCTATCCCTCTCGAGCTCCGTTCCCATGTTCTGGTTAAGATTGTAACAAGCACCGCAATGGATAGACCAAAACCTGGCGTGGCTCTATGAAGAATTTGGTCTAACAATTGTCTTTGGTCGGTACAACTCACGTTCCGGGTCGGGACCTAAAGGATGAACATTGCTGATGGCTAGAAACGCTATTAGATATGGATTAGAATAGAACTCCGTGACGCGTTTGTTTCACAGTTTATTTTTCGAACCCCCGTTTCCCATTACACATTGAAACCAAATATTTTACGTCGAAATTCATATAGAAGTATACATTCACGTTTTCTTCCTGTTCTCTCTGTCAGTCCCTTCATTTTCATTCCACTTATTTGTACCCATTCATATTATTCATCGTTATATATCATATATTATACATATATATATATATATATATGTATATGGTAAACTAAACTACTACTAAACATGTATACACGGTAAATTATAACCTTTTATTGTGATCCGGGCCTACGAGATGACGCATTCCGCGAAGCGACACGTTACAATTGTAGGACAAGTGTGATTAGTCAAGCTTCGCAGGTGACGTCAGAACAGCGCGTACGTGTCATTGCTTCTGGACTACATATCATCGTACCAGTGAATGAGAACCCGTGCGGCAAAGACAGAAGCTAAACGACGACAGAAATAGCCGAACTCGATTGGCAGAGGCCCGGACGACCAATGACTTTGTTCTGGCCATATCATTTGATCCCTTTAATTTCTTTCGATGAACAAACTACTACTACTACTACTACTACTACTACTACTACTACTACTACTACTACTGAGGCCTTTTCCTCGCGTCTCGATTACGTGGGATATGGCGTGCAAGTGCCACTGTGTGGTTACGTCTCTTCCATGATTGTTAGTCCGTGATTCGTATTACGTTGTTCGTGTTCCGAGTTCAGTGCGCACTACTATCATTCGCACAACTACTGCCATTTTACGGATTCAGTGGCCGCGACGCCAAATATTGTATCCCACATTCAGTAGATGAGATCATACGAAATTCAATCGAAGGATTCATCACATACGAAAGGAAACGGATGAGCCCTGCCTGCCTACCTGTTTTCCTATGTGTTGTTTGTTTCTGCCTGCTCCCTGGTCTATGAAACGACTACACAATTACCATTACAATAATCGCACCGCTTGAACCGTTGTATGCTCATCTACATACATAATCTTGAAAACAACAGATATCTAGTTACAGAAGTGGATTCGCACTGTTTAAGTTATGTGTGCAAGGGGGGAGTGATGTCTGAACGAATACTGTTGCACAGGTTTTCGCCAGAGATTAAATGTTTTTCGGCCATAAAACCGGTGAGCAAGTAAAAATAGGCAATACGACTTGTGCGTGAAATCACTTGAACAGACCAGCGTAGTGCATAACTCGTAAACCGTCATATAAACTGAATAACAGTAAGAATTGTGGGTGACAACTCAGTACCATACAAATCGGTTGAGTAAATACAGTGAAACGTTTAATGATCGCAAGCGGAAATATAGAACCACAATATTCGAATCTCTTTTTAAAGTAAAGTTCAAGTGTAAATTCCACGTACTGTGGGAGCAGAGTTCTTGTGAACGCTAAAGTACAGAGCAAATCACTTCAGCATAGTTCAGTCTTTCTTCGGCTGGTGTGAAAGTGACATCCCTAAATTTAGAGGCGTTAAAAGATAATTTTCAGTAGGATGACTATTAGCTTCAGGTAGATAAATTGGTTCGAGGCTATGAGAAACGGGAATCACCTAGGAATTTGCAACCCATGGCGATTGAAATATCATTTGGGTCGGTGGATAGGCCTTGAACATAGAAAGAGAAGAGAACAGGGTGTTGGAGGAATACAATATGGTGCACTTTGGAACAAGATTATCAACAAACATCCGCAAACATCAAGTGTTAGTCAGTAGATGATGTCTTTTCCGAATTTAACACAATATATATCAAGAAAAGCACAATTGCAACTGAAAATTAGTGAAGTTCACTGACCAAGTCCGATCAAAACAGATAGGGGAATTTTTCGAGGTCTGGTATTGTTTAATAGACTCAGTAGACATGCACATCAATTTGAATCATCTGTATACATCTGTAATCATCGTAGTAGTCGTAGTATTAGTGATGCGCACTGGACTCGGACCACGAACCACACAGTATGACTCACGAAATACGAATCAAGCGTCAGCTATCACGGAGTGGATCACGTAAGCACTGGATCGCATTAGCACTAGCACGCAATGTCCCACGTGGCCGAGACGTGAGGAAAGGATAGATCGGAATGGTGTTAGTTCGTTTATTGGAAGAGATGAGCGCGATTATACAATATGTACAAAAGATCATTGGTTATCCAGGCTTCCACTAATCGCATTCCAGTATTGCTTGCATCATTCTGTTCCTGTCTCAACTGTTCTGTTTCGGATTGTCTGGTACGATCTACCTTTGATATGTAATAGGAAGCAGTGACACGTACGCGCGTCATTGACGTCACCTTTAACAATTGATTGATCACATTTGTCGAAAATATGTCACGCGGCGCTCCAGGGTAAGCGTCATCTCGTAGGCCTAGATCACCACAACATCATCAAGACTGTTTGATCAAATAGCACGACAGAAACCAGGACAAAATTAAATCTGAGTGCAGTTTTCGACAACCGCTGTCTGCGCAACATCGCCCGCGTATGGTGGGAGCACCGCGCGAATAACGATGAAGTCAGACGACGGGTGCTGGGAGGAGATAGTCTTGCTTTGGGCAAAATAATTTCACAGCATCTTCTTAGGTGACTAGGGCACGTCCTACAAATGTCTGAGCACCCTCTGCCGCACCGTGCACTAATCGGAGACGTTGGTCCAGGCTGGAAGAAGCAACGAGGTGGGCAGGCTATGACGTGGCGCAGAGAGTTAAAGAGATTATGCTCGGATCTGGCGTCCGTTGGGGTTTCTCGGCTCCCCGGCTGGGGCCACAAAGATTCAGATCGTCTTTGACTGGAGACACTGCCGGGTATGGCATCAAACCGAAGTCAGTGGCGCGAATGTGTCCTCCATGTTTGCAATCCCAAAAGCAGACAAAAACAAAAAAACTCAAAATGGCGTGCAGTGAACAAACAAAAACTTGTTATTTCTCGAAGATGACTGTTTTGTCATCCCCGTTTTTGTACCTATTTTTTCGTTCACCTATGGTTATTTTTGGCGCCGTATCTGTAAAGGTTATTTATAATATATATATACATATAAGAACAGTACAGTAATCCAGACGAAAAACACGTCCTTCTAATAATTCAGGTTTAACAGCAAAACTGAGTTGAAAACAATAGGAAGAAGAGGTCCAAGAGCATTACTGAAAAAGAATCCATATCGGTGAGCGGATAGAGGCAGAACGACACCACTTCACACGCACTGATAATGTCGTCTCGGCTTGGGATGAAGCTTACGCAAACCAATTTCTTACATCGGCAAATCGGTAAAGATGAATAAAGGTCATCCGCGGAGCGATGATCGATTTGTAACCATTCATCTACCGATTAACTTTCACGCGGGACCCAGTGGAACTTTCCAACGATTTATAAAATATCCCACCAAATGGTCTGACTATGGGATGTTTTTATTTTCACTACTACAACTACTGTTTTATATCGCCAAGATGGTGCCGGGACGAGGAGAGTCATCCAATCAGATAACAGCATCGGATAGGACAAATAAGTTGACCTGGGACGAAACATCTAATTTGCAAAAAATTGTTTAGTATTTTCGTGATCATTTCTTCATTGGTTATCACCAGTTCGAAAATCTGTTTTTCTTGTATTATTTTTGTAGCTGATTCGTTTAATTCACTCACAGATGCCGCTATAATCTAACAAGTGCTTTTTGGTGTGTGCAAACTACTCACAAGTGTGAGTAGTACATGGGTAACACTGCTTCGGCTACCAAACTACTACCACTACAAATGATACCGGTACACTTATTAACACTAGTTCAAGTAATGCCAATAAAAATGATAATCGGATTAGTAATGATATTGAAAACAACAATGATATTTATCATTCAGTCAACTAAACAATCAACCTACGAAAAGCAAAAGTACCAGAAACATCGAACTCTTCGACTGCCTTAAATCACCGATTTCGCATGCACATCCACCAGATATGTGAGCGCGATAAAAGCGATTGGACAATTCAGTGAGAGCAGTAACAATTGGTTCAATCTCAGTCTCTGATTCAAGTCCAGCAAATACAGCATTTAGGATCCGGCATTTCGATCAGTTCCCGTAAATCATACTAACAGCATTGGTTACATGAGAGTGGTGAAGATTTTGGTTTGACAAAATTCAACCTTTCAAAAATATTACAAGTATTGGAAATAAATGTATTATTTCATGGGGATTTGATCGGATATTCTTCCAAATTTTACAATCGAATTTGATTTAGTTTGTTTGCGGACCAAAATTTCACCCTGACTGCATTTATTTTCATCCTGTTCGTGATGTTCTCAACTGTATGCGTGGCTTACACCTGCCCGGAGGCAGCGGGAGAAGTCACATCATTGGATGAACAGGGACATAAATTAACCAACCAATCAACTCATCTCACCATTAACGTGGTTGTGGTTGTCGTTGTTGTTGTCGCTGTCTTTGTTGTTGTTGTCGTCGTTGTTACTACTATCATTTTAATACAACAGCATGGTGCATTTCCTCCGTGTTGCAATGTAAGCACATGGACGGGTCCTACTCGTGAATGGATCATTTGTCCACGATAGAACCAGCTTCGAATTGGACATCCCATTCGAACGCACCGGATCTCTCATTTCCATCAGACAGTGATGCTGTCGCGGATGTGATGTGTGTGGTTTTGCCGTTTGGAATCCTATTCAGTGTGTATGCATGTTTTGCTCTCCATCAGACCAAAATTAACTCCTCCCTGTCCAAAATGCTTCTGTACAATCAAAATATATTGGATGCTATCTATTGTGCCATCATATTGAGTCTGGTTGCGACAAACAATTACACCCTGGCGGGACTCAACAGTCCGTTCGTGTGTTATCTGCTCCAAAGCGGATTCCTGCCCCGAATGGGTCGTACCATGATCGCCTGTAATGTGCTCTGTCAATCGGCCGATCGATTTTGGGCGGTCGTATATCCGGGCACATATAAATTGTTTGCCAAACGTTACATCATCCTATGCGGTACATTTATTTCCGTCTACTCTGCTCTAATCTCATTGTCCCGTGTTTTCAAGGTTATCTGGCTGGACGGCAACTGTTGGACAAATCAAATACTCATCAGTGAAGAAGCTATGTTCTCGCTGGAACTGCTCTTTCGCTACGTACTCCCAGTTTCGGTCATCCTAGCCCTGAATATCGTAGTTTTACACAAATTGCGTTGTTCCGGTCTGTTTATTCAAAATAGTACGCCGGTTCCGTCGGACAGTGAGGATAATGTGTCGAGACGTACGGACACGCCCTCAAGTGTCGGGTGGATTGTGCAAAGAAATATATTTTGCAGTACCGTCATCTTGATGACCGAGTTGACTGTGACGGAGATTATTGCAACTGTGCTCACCATTTTGGATCTGAATAACCTCGTGGATTTCGGTGTCCATTCCCTGTCTCGAGTGTACTATTACGCAATTCTTTCGTTCTGTTCCTGTTTGAATCCGTTTGTGGAAATTTTAACACTGAAACCACTTAGGCACACGGTTATGCAACAGTGGACCAGTGGATTCAATAAATGCTGTGCCACCAGGCGAGCACATATCTGTTACTCTCTCTCATGATTCAAGCACACGCGTCCGACGAAGTAGGATGGCGTTCAAATTCCGTGTGTACATGTGTAGGAAACTATGGTGAAATGTGATCGAACGCCTAGAACGGGGAATCTGTGTACCTGTGTGAAAAGAGCTACACTTTGTCCACCAATATCTACTGCATTACACTTAAAAAGAGACAGTTCACTGGAGCACACGTGCGTTTTGTACTCATATTCAGATAACTGAAGTCTTTGATCTCCATTTATGTTCGCTTGTTTGAGTACAATGAGAAAATAGAGAAAGTGAGTTATTCGTAGTGGTGATCATGATGATAATGATGATGCAAGTGGTGGTGGTGGTGGTGTTGGTGGTGGTGCGGGTGGTGTTGTTGTTGTTGGTGTTAGTGATGATGGTAATGGTGTTTTTGGTGACGGTCGTGGTTGTGGTGATGGTCGTTTTGATGATCGTGACGGTGCTGCCGTTGGTGCTTGTGGTGATGGTGGTTGTTGTGGTGATATGTTGCGAACACACGACCACCTGAGCGATTATATGGTGACCAAATCAACTTGACGACGTCGAATGAAAACGTGGCAACAAGGTCGGGCTTGGATCTAAGTGATTGGCATGTATGATAAATTGCGTATCACGACGAAAATCGTTTATTTCATCCGTCTTTTCATAATTTCTTTTAGACAGACTGGTTAAGCGTTCAGAGGTGAAAAAGATTTGCCAGTCACTTTACCAGGGAATATTCTTCATATGCATACTTCATACTTGTCAGAGAATTTCGATCACGGTACCTGACGAAACAATGAATGGTGGTTCCCCATTTTAGTAACATACTCTCCTTTTATGCGTAGTACGTAAGTCACGTGTTATCATTTCCAGTATTCTTTTCCAATCGTGGTCGATCAAAACTGAGCAAACATACATAAACCAGTCGATCACGATCACACTGATGAGAACCTGAGTCCAGTGATTGCGAGTGATGAATCGTGAATAGCGTAGAGATAAGGCAATTCCTACCGATGAAATTACTCAAATAAGCTGGCTAGTAAATGAATTTACCAGGTGTCCCATGTTTCCTATATGTTTCACTTGACAGACGTTGCATTACTCCTCCGCTCGTCGTAATTATTTATCATTCAAATTGTATTCAAAAAATTATTCATCAGCTTCATTTAGTTCTACTTAGCAAAAGCTACCCTTTTTCTGACTATTTCTTTTTGTGGCGGACCGGCTGAAGAGTACAGATCTGATCATATTATTTTTCTAATAGAAGATACAACATCGAAAGCAATTTCTGTTGCTCAGAAGTAGTGATTCTGACTTGCAACTTCAAAGTTTGCCTTATGTGTCTGGCTCGTCTGAACATGGTCCAAGTAGCTGTCCGGCACTTCCATGATATTTACATCGCGTCTAAAATGCCTTCAACATGTTTTCCCGTTACACACTTTCAAGTGATGAACAGCATCCGGGGAAAGCCCCATAGTCACCAGGATCTGCTGTTCAGTGATGGAAACCGGTAACCTAAGCCCCAGGACTTGGAGTGGTGAAGCACATAAGGCCCCGATAGGTTAGGCATTGTATTGAACCGGATGACAGCGAGGATAAATGTTACTGCAAACCATGTAACCCACACCCAAGGAGTTACATCTTGACCTCCTGCGTTTATCTGATTAGCTGACTAGGTACCCAGTGTTTGAATTCATGACATATTCCCAATATGCCATCATTACACATTGTAAGAAAGCACAGAGTAGCGAACAAGCTCGTTTGCGATGATTCTTCTACAGGCTAATACACCACAATTCGTATCAAACTGTTTAGTAAAAGCAGAGAAGAAATCATGGCAAGTTGGAACGGAAATAATCAATAAATAAACTTCCATGAAAGGATGTTGCTAACAATTGGGCCATCACACACACACACATTTGTTCGGGTGATTGGGGGGATGGCTATGTCGTGTGTGGTGTTGGCCATGAAAGACCGAGAGTTCTTAAGCATTGTTTTGCGAGCATACGTGTGGAGGGGGGGAGTTTGTAAGCGGATCCCAGTCGCTTCCTTTGTGGCCGGAATACGACTCCTAATACTCTTAGATCGACGGCTACGAACTAAGTAGTGGGGGTGGAATGGTTCTGGCCACAGTAATTGCGTGATTCGATTCCACTAGGCGGGAAACGATTGAGCTGTTGATTATTTTAATTGCTCTACCATTCAAACAGACCGGGTGATTTCTCCCCTCTCACCATCTCGCTACTAAATAGTTTGATATGAATTGTTATGCATTAGCCTGTCGAAGAATCACTGCAACATAGCTTGTTCGCTCGTCTGTGTTTCCTTGCGATGGTTCATCTGTCATGCGCTTCTTACGCGCCGTGTCACTCAGCGTCCTTTGGTTTGTACATTGCATCGGTTGATCCTAGACAACTGTTCGTTTATCCCCGCTAAATCACTACCACAACCACTCGCTGTTCGCATGTCTGACCGTTAACCGACTTTCCATTTACGTATCTCTAGTATCCAAGATTGAGTAGGCTGATAAGCACGTAGTGAATTAAGCAACATTTGAATTGTGGACGGCAAATTTGTAGCTGGTTCATAGACGCGGGAACGGGCAGAAAGGGGCAACACGTAGGAAGACAGGCAAGCAGGCCGGAATTCAACACAGTCACTCGATCAATCAATCTTGCCACAGTCAGTTGTAGGTCACAACAGCATCCATCATACGTTTGACTTGGGTATTGCTATCTGACAATCGCTTTTCATGTGTTGCATTTATGACACATGGCCGTAGGATTTAGTATTTCACGATCTGTCTGTCTCTTACTGTTCCTTCTGTTCGCGTTTCGTACATTTGAAATTGAACAGGCAACAATGAGTCGAGGTCCGCTTAACGTTCAAACATCCACGCGGTCCTCTTCCATGGTTTGTTCCGTGGCGTTTGCACATTCCTCGTCCACTGGTAACACGAGCTGATCTCGCGTTTGAATGATGCGAACCCGTGGTTACCTAGCTGTATAGGCCAAAGCCCTGCCTTGATTGTCTTGCTATAACAGTGCTGTGTGTTCCGTTCGCAACGAGGTTTGTTTCGCTTGGTTCATATAGAACCGCATTTGTACCGCATCTAATCAATTAATTTCGCTTCGATACGCTTCGAATAGCGCGTGCATCTCTAACGACAAATTCGTGAGTGGTTGTACCCAGTGGGTAATCGGGGTCCGGTATAAAAAGCATGATGTTCGTAAACAGCGTGTTGTGTCCTTGTGTGAAATCAGAAGGGCTACGTCCACGTTCACAGTCACGAAACGCGAAAATTACAGGGAACACATTTTGTTCAAAAGCTTGATGTGATTTTCTCTCTTAGTTGGTCAACTCTATCCAATGCGTTATAAATATAGAACCTCGCTGATACATCATCCTAGTAGATTTTTGTATAGACATCCTCCCCGCAAGGTAATCACAGGCTTACTAGCAGCTGAGCGCAAAGATGAAAAAGGGATACAGAAAATATCAGGTTTCCTTTCTATGAGAGCTGATCAGCAGTGCATATCTACAGTCCCGTTGGGAATTTGAACTCCAGACCCATCGCATGGAAGGTGTGTGTGTCTGTCGCACGTGTTACCACTGTACCAATCAGCTCACGCCAGAGCTGAAACGAATTGCTCTCCACGCAATGGTTCCTGAGTTCTGATCTCTCACGGGATGGTGGATCGGTATCAATGATGAGCTCTAATGAGAGCGAAACTCGAGTATAGGGCTTCCGAGTTTATGGTTGACTACAAGAGTTCAGGAATATGCGTGCAGCTGAAGTCTGAAGGATAGTCAGTTCAAATAAATCAATATCAATTATCGCACAGCACTACTCAAAAGAAAATGTGCGTTACGTGCAACTAAACAAAAGCTACCCGAGATAACAACTCCAATAAGAATGATCCATCTGAAAGTTTCATCCGAAAGGTGAAGACAAACCGTTCCTATTACGTGCTTGCTCTCTTTAGCTTTCTATTAAGCAATTGAAACACTATATATTAGAAAATAATTAGCGATTACGAAATCACAAGGTGAAGGTCTTTGTGTGTTTATGTGTGTGTGTGTGTGTGCGTGGTTTGCACGTCTGCTCTAGGTTAGGTTTGGGAGGTAGTGTTCGGCGCTTATGGCCAATATTCCTGACGTTCACCGTTCTCGTAATATACCCGGATGCTGGCTTTTCGTCACCTCACTTTGTTGGTACAGTAGCGTTTTACGCTATTCAAACGAAGGTGATTGACTAGTCCCTATCTAAGACACCGACCCATTCACGAACATGATGAAGCATTCGGAGGTCAGTCACTCCAGGTAGTCCGGGGTCAACTGAATTGATCCATTTATGATTAAACTAAAAAAGTAATCGTAACTCGATGATGACATATCAGCCAAATGAACCCGTCATTTAAACCAACTATGAGAATGAAAAGGACAGCGGAGAGTCAAATTCGAAGTAGTTAATCATGACCAGTAAGTCCTGAAGACTATGTGACACAGATGACAGCCTCATTCGGCTAGTAACATCTAATTGTTTACATAACTTGAGTCTTCATTTTAGGAACGATATTAGTATGCTTCCTGGCATAGGCTTTTGTAAAACAGACCGTTTCAGTTTACCATCTTACAAAATACGGAATAAGGTCTATGTGCTTTATAAACTGAAGTACGTAGAACGAGTCGTTTGCTGCGAAAGTCCGTTTACCTTTACTATAGTTGCAAACGGAAATCCCTCACTTCCTTTTCGGATTTCGGGGGAATCTGATGATTGCTTTTTGGAGCTTGCAGACTACTCACACTTAGAATGGAAACTGGCTGAGGTTATATGCACAGTATCATTTCGCACGATTACAAGAAAGAAGGCAGCAGAAATGTCACATGATAAAAGACATATTTGTATGAGAAACTTAGATGCCTATGAGACAACCTTGAATTGGACTAGAGAAAATATCGCTAAGTGAGGCGACAACTTCAAAAGCTATCGAAGCGCATCAAGAACACGGGATCTGGATTGTGCTAGAAACTGGACGCCTACAGTTGTAGGATAACTGTGACCAGTCATGATCCACGAGTGACGTCAACAAGCACGTGCATGCTACTGCCTCTGGACTACATGACATAGGTCGCTCGTACCAGCCGATGAGAACCTGTGCAGCACAAACAGAAGTAGAACAACGACAGAAATACTAGAATGCGATTGGCAGAGGCTTGGATGCCCAATGAGTTTGTTTTGTACATATTACTTAATCTCCCTTATTTCTTTCAATAAACGAACTACTACTAATCCTGTAGACCTTTCCTCGCGTCTCGGTTACGTAGGATATGGCGTGCAAGTGCCGGTGTGATCCAGTGATTACTTGACGTCTTTGATTGATATTTCGTTGTTCGTTTTTCGTGATTCGTATTCTGTAATTCGTGTTTCGAGGTCATACCCTAATACTACTACTACTACTACAATCATTACAGATGTATTTACGGAGAATTTTGTCAAGTTGAACGAGTTGCAACGTGAAATCCACATGGACCGGTCCCGACCATTTACTTCA